CCCCTCTTTCCTACAGTGGAGGGTTGATCATAAGGATACTTGTGAGAATCAGGGAGGGAGGCAGCTCGGGCTCACTTTGGGATCAGGGCCCCTTTCCCCGAGCTGTGGCTCTGCCTTGACCTTGCTAGCCAGCCACTCGCCGTTGGTTGCCCACTAGTTCCTGCCCACGAAAATCCTCAGCTCTCTACCAGCCTGTGGCTCCCATCAACTCCTGGTCTCCCAGGGTCATCTCTGCCCCTCCCCACACGACCCCAGTTGGCTCTGTCACACACGCACTCTCTAACCAGCCATCGTGCATGGCTTTCCAGAACATTCCTAGGTTTAAAGCCAGACCCTGCCAGCATCTCAAGTCACCCAGCTCCTTGTGGTCACACCTTGGCCCCTCTGAGCTCTGCTTATCCACCCGTCCCTTTCTTTGCCAAGACCATCCAAGGTCACTGGGTCTTCACAGGGGCCCTGCCTTCCTCTCTACCCCAGTGCTAGCCACCCTGGAAGGGCTTCAGCTCCTAAGTCCCCTTTCGGCCACCAACCAGGCCAACCAGAACACCCCGACATCCCCTCAGTCCCCTCAGGCTGTTTGTCCCCTTTGTTGAGACCACCCTGGCCTCCTCCTGGGACATCAGTACTGCTCCCGGACTAACTGTGTAGGCCCCATGGTTCACCTGTGCCTGCCCTCCCTCTGGACCCAGCTGCATATGATTCTGTCCCTCCACAATCTCTGCTCCTTGTCCCAGATATGCCCATCCTGTCTGCCACCAGCCCATGGGGTGTAATAAGCAGTTTGGGAAAAGTGCCCCCTTTCCAGAGCTGGACTTGCATCTGCTGGCTATTGTTGCAACAAATGCTGGCCCAGGACTCTTTACTGCCCTCCTGTGGACATGGGTGGTAGTACATGGGCTGCCCACCAATTGTTGCAGCAAATGCTGGCCCAGGACTCTTTACTGTCCTCCTGTGGACGTGGGTGGTGGTACACTTGCTGGCCACCAACTGTTGCAACAAATGCCGGACTAGGACTCCTTATTGCCCTCCTGTGGACATGGGTGGTAGGACATGTGCCACCCACTAATTGCAACAAATGCTGACCCAGGACTCTTTACTGCCCTCCTGTGGACACGGGTGGTAGTACACCTGCTGCCCACCAATTGTTTCAACGAACACTGGCCCAGGACTCTCTACTGCTCTCCTGTGGACATGGGTGGTAGTACACCTGCTGCCCACCAATTGTTGCAACAAATGCTGGACCTGGACTCCTTATTGCCCTCCTGAGGACATGGGTGGTGCGACATGTGCCACCCACCAATTGCAACAAACGCTGACCCAGGACTCTTTACTGCCCTCCTGTGGACACGGGTGGTAGTACACCTGCTGCCCACCAATTGTTGCAGCAGATGCTGGACCAGGACTTTACTGCCCTCCTGTGGACATCGGTGGTAGTACACATGCTGCCCACCAATTGTTTCAACGAACACTGGCCCAGGACTCTCTACTGCTCTCCTGTGGACATGGGTGGTAGTACACCTGCTGCCCACCAATTGTTGCAACAAATGCTGGACCTGGATTCCTTATTGCCCTCCTGTGGACATGGGTGGTAGGACATGTGCCACCCACTAATTGCAACAAACGCTGACCCAGGACTCTTTACTGCCCTCCTGTGGACACGGGTGGTAGTACACCTGCTGCCCACCAACTGTTGCAGCAGATGCTGGACCAGGACTTTACTGCCCTCCTGTGGACATCGGTGGTAGTACACATGCCGCCCACCAATTGTTTCAACGAACACTGGCCCAGGACTCTCTACTGCCCTCCTGTGGACATGAGTGGTAGTACATGCGCCGCCTACGTGGGTGGCTGGGGAAGAGGGACACCTGGGGGCCAGGGGACCGGCCTCTGTGCTGCTGCAGCAGGGCAGGCAGGTTTACTTCACACCCACCACACTCCATAGCTTCTCCAGTACACACTCCCCTCCCCCATTTTTGCTCCCAGCAGGTAGTCTTGCCCCCACTTCCCAGAATAAGAACTGGAAGTACTCCACCAGCGTCAGCTATGGCATCTAAAGGAGATCCAGGCATGGGTGGTCTTGGTTCCAGCCCTGTCTCTCCAGTTCCTTAGCACACCAGGCCGGGAGCGAGCTGGTCTCCTCCCAGGTGTCTGGGAGGGGTGAGGTGCTTCAGGCTGCTAGCCAGATAGCAGCCCCGAGGCAGGGGGTCACATCACAGGAAGAGCCAAAGAAGAAATTATTTAAGTAACAAATTGCTTTTCTAAGGACACAGGGACCCCCCACTCAGAGAAAGGCAAGACCCCTGGGGGAGCAAGAGAGAGCTCATGACAGGGGTAAGGGTGGGGTCCCCAGGCCAGGTGGGCCAATCATATTCACTCAGGACCTCCAGGCACACCCTGGGGAGGCAGAGGCTTGGGCAACTCCACAATCCATTTAAAATGCTCCTACCAATTTGACCAGGGTTTCTGCTGCAGCAATTTATCCTCAGACATGTGGACAAAGATGTGTGAGCAAGCATGTTCAGTGCTGAGTTATTTATAAAGTTTAAAACCTAGAAACAACCTGAATTGTCTAATGAGAGAACTGTTGAACAAAACATACATTTGTAGGATGAAATGTGATGCATAAGCCAACATGTACTTTTTCTAAGAATATTTAATGTAAAATGTTATGTTGAATGCAGCCAATGATGTAAAATAAAACACTACATACATAGTGAAAAATTCATTGACAACTATACTTGTTTGTGTACTTTTCTCTCTGTGTTATATTTCATTAACATTAATGTAAATGGATTAGAGTGGATTAAAAACTGGTATACAGTAAGAGTCCTATATCCTCTAGGGTTGTGTGTGCATAGATGTCTTCACACGTGTGTTCATGTATGTGAACATGTTGCACAAATGTGTGCATGTTTGCATGTGTGTGAATGAGTGTGTTTGCTCACATGTGCACATGGGGATGTGTATGTGCACGTGTGTTTCTGTGTGTCTTTGTGTGTATGAGTATGACCGTGTGTGTTTAGAAAAATTTCCAGAAGGAAATACACTACAATTTCAGAAGAGATTATCTCTGGATGGTGGGACTGCAGCTGTCTTATTTTCCTCTTATGCCTTTTTGTACTTCTAGGTTTTCTGCAATAAAAAAGCATTTCTTTTCAACTAGAAAAAAATGAAAGGTGAATGAACATGCTGAGTGACCCTTGCTCCCGCCCATCCCGCCACATGTGGTCTGTTTCCCACGAGAGGCGCCCCAATGCCTGCTCTCCCTGGGGGCACCTGCCTTTCAAGGCCCGGGTGTGTGCAGGTGGCATACCAGGTTGGTCTTTTCCTTCTGGAGCTTCAGGATGAGCTGGTGGAAGTACTTTGTCATCCTGTTGGAGGTCACGTGCTCCTGCAGCTTCTCCACGATGGAGGCATCCATCTTCCTCCCCAGCTCCAGCTCATGCTGGATGGTCTGGTGGAGAGTCTGCAATTGGCCTATGGTTGCCGTGTATTCCTGGAAAGAAAGAGCCAAAGGGTGGGTGCTGTGAAGGAGGTCGGGGAGGCTTGCCCTGCAGGTGGGAGACATGACCGTACCATGTGGGCCTTGCCCAGTGCGTCCTCTGTGTCCAGCAGGGTGAGCCTATAGGTGCTGAACTCATTCTGCAGGGCCTCCTCCTTGGCCAGGCACTGCGAAGTCAGTTTCTGCATCAGGCTGGTTTCCGTCTCTGCCCGGTTCAGGATACTGGCCAGCTTCTCGTTCTTTTCTTCCTCCTTTATGATGGATTTCTTATAGGCTTCGAGCTCGCCATCCATGGACTTGACTTGATGCTGGCATTCGCTGCCAAAAGTGAAAGAGCAAAGCTAGGACATCGGAACACCAACGTGTATGGTGGTACCCTGCTCAGAGGACGCTCACAGAGTGGAGAGAAAGAAATTAGGAAACCAACTCTTTTAATAGTAGTCGAATCTTTTTTAAAAAATTTTTTATGACTTTCGCACATTATTTATTTATTTTTAATTTTTTGGCCACACTGTGAGGCACATGGGACCTTAGTTCCCTGACCAGAGATCCAACCCACACCTCCTGCAGTGGAAGCATGGAGTCTTAACCACTGGACTGCCAGGGAAGTCCCACTAGTACTCAAATCTTGACTAATATTTTCTAATGTATTAGAACTATTACCCGGGACTTTCCTGGCAGTCCAGTGGTTGGGGTTCCATCCTTCCACTGCAGGGGTCATTGGTTCGATCCCTAGTTGGGGAACTAGGATCCTGCATGCTGTGCAGCCAAAAATAAAATAAATAAATAAAAATAAAAGTTAAAAGAACTATTACCCATCTCAAGTCCAAGTCTAAAACTCTTCTAATATTGTGATTATGGGAGGGGGAAAGGGCAGGAAACTGTTGCCTTGTGCTTGTGGGTGGGGAGTGGTTGGCGCCAGCCCATCTCCTTTAGTCATGACCATAACCCTTGGAAAGGATATGCTGTTATCTCAGTTTTGTACTCGTGAACACAAAGCTTAAAGCATTTGAGGTGCACAGTGAATGGTGTGGCTGGGAGGAATACAGGTGGCTGTCTCTTCAAATCCCCTCAGCATACTGGTCATGGAAATACCCATAAGTAATGTCAAGTTAAAAAATGCAGATCCTGGATAATGGAATTTGAATTTGTGCGTGTGAGACATTTTTTCCCTTTCATTCTGTGCTGTCCTGCTGTACTTTAAGCATGCTTTCCTCTACTTGTGGTATCTTATCCTTTGAATAAGTTTTTATTCAAAAATTCAAAAAGTACTTTCTTCTTGAACTAGAATAATACCTTCCATATTTTTCTCACATCTATTCCTGGGCCTTGGACTCTCTTCCCCCAGCAACCTGTTACTGTCTCTTAAATGTCTTGCCAGATATATTTTATGCATATATAAACATTATGTTTGTGGGTGTTTGCGTATTTCTCTCCACTTAAAAAATTACAAGTGGAAGCTTAGTATATCCTATTCTGCACCTTACTTTTTCTTCTGTTGTATCTTAGAGATATTCAATATCAGTGTGCATAGAAATCGCCTTAATTCTTTTCAATGACCAGATAGTATTTTAAATATCTCATTGGTATACATTTAGGCTCTATCCAGTTTTCTGCTTTTTCCCAATTTCACCAGTATAGCAATAAACAACTGTACACATTAAAAAAAAAAAAAAAAGATACTGAAGAGATATGCTGTGTTCATGCAACAGAAGATTCAATGTTAAGGTGTCAATCCTCCTCAAACTGCTCTATAGTCTCAATGCATTTCCAATCTCAATGCCAGTAGGCATTTTTTCCCCAGAAATTGACAAGCTAATTCTAAAATTCATATGGAAATCCAAAGGACCTAGAATAGCCAAAATAATTTTGTAAAAGAAGAACAAAGACTCCCAATATCTGATTTAAAGACTTTCTATAAAGCTGTACTTATGAAGACAATGTGGTATTGGTGAAAGATAGACAAATAGATCAATGGAACAGGATGGAGAGTGTACACACACACACACACACACACATACACACAATTGACTGATTTCTGACAAAGGTGCCACAGTATTTCAGTGGAGAAAGGATGGTCTTTTCACCAAGGGTGCTAAGACAACTGGAGATGGACATGCAAAAAAAGACTGAACCTCAGACCATAATAAAATTAACTTGAGGGCTTCCCTGGTGGTGCAGTGGTTGAGAGTCTGCCTGCCAATGCAGGGGACACGGGTTTGTGCCCCAGTCTGGGAGGATCCCATATACTGTGGAATGGCTGGGCCCATGAGCCATGGCCACTGAGCCTGCGCGTCTGGAGCCTGTGCTCCGCAACGGGAGAGGCCACAACAGTGACAGGCCTGAATACCGCAAAAAAAAAAAAAAAAAAATTAACTTGAAATAGATCATATACCTAAATGGAAGAGCTAAAATTATCAAACTTTAGCAGAAAACATAGAGAAAATCTTTATGACTCTAGGTCAGGCAAAGATTTCTTAGAGAGGACATAAAAAGCATGAACTATGAAAGAAAAAAATTAATAAATTGGAATCCATCCAAATTTAAAACTTTGGCTCTTCAAAAAACACCGTTAAGAGAATGAAATTACAAGCCAGCCTGGGAGAAAAATATTTTCAAAATACACATCTGGTAAAGGACTTGTATCCAGAACATATGAGAACTCATAACTCAATAATCAGATAAACCACTCAGTTTAAAAATGAGCAAAAGAATAAAATACCTAGGAATAAACCTACCTAAGAAGGCAAAAGACCTGTACTCTTAAAACTAAAGGACACTGATGAAAGAAATTGAAGATGACACAAACAGATGGAAAGATATACTATGTTCTTGGATTGGAAGAATCAATATTGTTAAAATGACCATACTGCCCAAAGCAATCTACACATTCAATGCAATCCCTATCAAATCACCAATGGCATTTTTCACAGAACTGGAACCAAAAGTTTTAAAATTTGTATGAAAACACAAAATATCCTGAATAGCCAAAACAATCTTAAGAAAGAAGAACAGAGTTGAAGGAATCACACTCCCTGACTTCAGACTACACTACAAAGCTACAGTAATCAAAACAGTATGGTACTGGCACAATAAAACAGACACACAGATCAATGGAACAGAACAGAGAGCCCAGAAATAAACCCACATACTTATGGTCAATTAATCTATGACAAAGAAGGCAAGAATATACAATGGAGAGTAGACATTCTCTTCAATAAGTAGTGCTGGGAAAACTGGACAGCTACTTGCAAAAGAATGAATTAGAACATTCTCTAACACCATATACAAAAATAAACTCAAGGGCTTCCCTGGTGGCGCAGTGGTTGAGAGTCCGCCTGCTGATGCAGGGGACACGGGTTCGTGCCCTGGTCTGGGAAGATCCCACATGCCGCAGAGCGGCTGGGCGCGTGAGCCATGGCCGCTGAGCCTGCGCGTCCGGAGCCTGTGCTCCGCAACAGGAGCAGCCACAACAGTGAGAGGCCCGCGAAAAAAAAAAAAAAAAAAAAACCTCAAAATGGATTAAAGACTTAAGTGTAAGACTGGATACTATAAAACTCCTAGAGGAAAACATAGGCAGAACACACTTTGACATAAATTACAGCAATATTTTTTTGGATCTATCTCCTAGAGTAATGGAAACATAAGCAAAAATAAACAAATGGGACCTAGTTAAACTTAAAAGATTTTTCACAGCAAAGGAAACCATAAACAAAACAAAAAGACAACCTACAGACTGGGAGGAAATATTTGCAAATGATGTGACTGACAGGGGATTAATTTCCAATATATACAAACAGCTCAAACAGCTCAACATAAAAAAACCCAAACAACCCAATCAAAAAATGGGCAGAAGATCTAAATAGACATTTCTCCAAAGAAGACGTACAGATGGCCAACAGGCACATGAAAAGATGCTCAACATCACTAATAATCAGAGAAATGCAAATCAAAACTACAATGAGGTATCACCTCACACCAGTCAGAACGGTCATCATCAAAAAGTCTACAAATAATAAGCGATGGAGAGGGTGTGGAGAAAAATTTACATTCCTCTGTTGGTAGGAATGTAAATTGGTGCAGCCACTATGGAGAACAGTATGGATGTTCCTTAAAAAACTAAAAATAGAGTTACCATATTATCCAGCAATCCCACTCCTGGGTATATATACAGAAAAGACAAAAACTAATTTGGAAAGACTCCTGCACCCCAGTGTTTATAGCAGCACTATTTACAATAGACAAGACATGGAAACAACCTAAATGTCCATCAACAGATGAATGGATAAAGAAGATGTGGTATGTGTGTATGTGTATATATATACATACATACATACACACACACATATATATGCAATTACTCAGCCATGAAAAGAATGAAATAATGCCATTTGCAACAACATGGATGGACCTAGAGATTATCATACTAAATGAAGTAAGTCAGTTGGAGAAAGACAAATATATGAGATCACTTATATGTGGAATCTAAAAAAATGATACATATGAACTTATTTACAAAACAGAAATAGACTCACAGACATAGAAGACAAACTTAAGGTTACCAAAGGGAAAGGGGGTAGAGAGATACATTGGGAATTTGGGATTAACAGATATATAGATAAACAATAGCACAGGGAATTATATTCAATACCTTGTAATAACCTATAATGGAAAAGTATACATATATATCTATACCTGAATCACTTTGCTGCACACTTGAAACATTGTAAACAGCTACACTTCAATTTTTAAAAATGAGCAAAAGACACCTTTTATCAGAGAAGGTATATGGATGGCAAATACTCACATGAGAAGATGCTCAATACCATTGGTCATTAGGAAGATGCAAATTAAAATCTCGACAGGACACCACGACATATCTACTAATGGCCAAAATTTAAATGACGGCACTATTAAGTGTTGGTGAGGATGAGAATGGCTGGGGATCTCAAATGCTGCCAAAGTGTTTCCCAAAGTGGCCTGTTCCATTTTGCATTCCCATACCAAGACCTGCACACAATTTCACAGCAGCTCTGGTCATGCTACCCTCCAAACTGGAAACAACCAAATGTTGGGATATGCACATGAGGGACTACTACTCAGCAACTGATCTTGTAACATCAGGCTGACTCTCAAAGCACTGTGCAAAGTGAAAAAAAAAGCTAGACAAGAAAAGCTACGTATTGTGTGATCCTGTTTATATGACATTCTAGAAATGACCAAACTATAGGAACAGAAAGCAGATCAGGGTTTGCTGGGGGCTGGAGGTGGGAAGAGGTACTGACTTCTGGGATGCAGGAAATAGCTGATATCTTGAGTGTATGATGGCTACTTGCGTCTGTCCATTTGCTGAACTGAACTGTGCTCTGAAAAAGGGTAACTTTTTACATAACACTAATAATTTACATAATAAATTTGTACATAAATTATCCTCAATAAACCAAACTTTTAAAAGTTACTCATTTTCGTTTTTAGGAAGTAGAAGCCTTATAAATACCTAGAATTTGACAATAACAATAGGACATCCAATTTTTATGACATAAATCTGAACACTCAGTAAAACATGCATATGGGGGAAAAGACACCAGAATGCAGCTAATCAACTGTCATCGTCACAAAAGGAGAAAGACTGTGTATTTTAAATCTTTATCTCTGTTTCTCTAATTTCCTGTAATGTGATCACTTACCCTTGATAAAAATTATTTTTAAAAAAGACACACTTAGGAATCCACTGGCGGTCCAGTTGTCCAGGACTCGGCACTTCCACTGCTGCGGCCCAGGTTCAATCCCTGATCAGGGAACTAAGATCCCGCAAGCCCCACAGCATGGCCAAAAAGTTAAAAAATAATAAAATAAAAAAAGACACTCTTTAGAAATGTCCTTCACAGAGAACAAACTGGTGGTTGCCAAGGAGGGGGGGTTGGGGAAGGGGTGGAGTAGGAGGTTGGGGTTAGCAGATATAAGTTTTTATATACAGGATGGATAAACAACAAGGTCCTACTGTAGAGCACAGGGAACTATAGTCAATATCCTGGGATAAACCATATGGAAAAGAATATTTTACAAATGCCTATATATGTAAAACTGAGTCACTTTGCTGTACAGCAGAAATGAATACAACATCGTAAATCAACCGCACTTCAATTGACAAGTTGATTAAAACTTGTTTTAATAACAAGTTGATTAAAACTTCCACACCAGTGGAAAATAAACAGAACGAAAAGAACTGGTGGAATCTAGAATATGTCTGAAGCTTGGCCCAATCCATCTGAGGATTGAGAGGGAACCTGTTACAGGATCTCAAGGCGATGAAGCTGACAAATTAACACCCAGCAGAGGTGCTGAGCCCTGCCTGTCCCACACGTATCCTGTCAGGAAGTATGACAGAGGCAGATACCAGGGCACAAGGGGACCTGTTTGTGTCCCTATCCCTGAGAAGGTGTAAATTCTAGGCAGGGTATCCCCCCCAACCCAAGTTAAGCACAGTATAGTCTTTGTATTTTCTGGCTTGTTTGGAGACATTTCACATGGAAATGACCCATTTGCTTTGAATGTATGACTTTCAGTGTTTGCTGCAGCCTCAACATGATTCTTCACCTGTGGTTGGGACGCACTCCTGATACGACTTTGTCACTAACTACGAAGATTCCGTAGAAGCTGCTGTCTTTCAAGTCTCGGTGTGGCGGGGACCCACAATAATAGAATATGATTGCTTACACACACACATACACACACATACACAAAACAGACACACACAGGAAGTGCTGGACAACGGGGGGTCCCTGTGGGGGGCACAGGCCATGAGACTCCCAGCCTCAACCTTACTCAAGGTCAACGTTGGGCAGGAGGGAAAAGCTGCCCACAGGCCAAGGCCTCTCCTGCACCAAACACAGGGCAGCATTGAGGGGGCAGACACAGCGGGAGTGGGCAGGCCAGCAGCCCCAGGGGGCAGGGTAGAGAGGAGCCCGACCCCACAGCCCTGAGCCCACCCGGTTCCTCCACCTGCGTGTTTAAAGGGGAAGCAGATGTTTAGCCGGACTTTGCCGGGATAATTCCATGATTCTCCCTTTGGCTTTCTCTCATCGACTCAGGGAAATGAAGGAAATGAGTATTTTTAATCCAGCATTACCCATGTAAAATGGCTTGTTGTAAAAACAATCAGTCCCTCCAGTTTTGTTTTTCTGAGGTCGAGTCGAGCTATGATGTGCTCCCTCCAGAACTGGCTTCCACATCTGGGCCCCAAGCACCCTGGAGGTTTGGGGAATTCAGGCAGTGCTGTGTCTGGAAGCCTCTGTCTCCAACACCCCGCCCAGGCTACACGTCCAGCCCTCGCTAGAAGTGAGAGGGGAACGCGAGGGGGGCCTCTTCCTTCCCTTTTCAAGGAGATTAAAGCAGGATTTCGGTTGGAACTCAGCCCTCAGCAGAACAATAGAGAAGGGATGAAGTTTCTGCACACAGGTGGTGAAACTGCAAATCAAAGGGACACCTTTATCTCCCCAAGATAAATACCGCTTTTTCTTTCTCTCTCTCTCACTGTTTCTCCTTAATCCTCCCAGGAAATCTGAGTGTGAAAGCTTTGCTGCTCCTGGTGCCACAGAAAGTTTGAAAGGATTTAAGAAACACTGAAATCTGGGTGAACAATAAGGGTGGCTTCAGGACGGAAGCTGGGGCCGAAGGGCTGCAGGGCTGCAGGTGCACCCCTTTGTCCCAGGAGAGCCGAGGATGGGTGCTCTGTGCTCACCTGTGAGGAGCTGGGCGTGGAGTCCACTCCACACCCACCTCCTCATTCCCACACTTGTCATGAGCTCTCCCCGCTCACCCAGACCCCCCCTGTGGTCCTGAGCCACCTGGCCCACCGCCATGGCAACCAGAAGGGCCGCCTGTACCTGAGTGCCTCTTGGATGGTCTTGTGAGCCTCGTCACGATGCTTCATGCCCACCAGGCTGCTGGCCCACTGCTGCAGGATGCGCTTTTTCTCTATGTTGATGGCATCTATTTCCGTGCAGGCCTGCAGTGGAGAGTTGAGGTTACTTGGATGTTGGTCTTATGTCATTAAGTTCAGAGCCCCAAAAGGATGTTGGAGAGCCCGGAGCTTCCTGAATCATCTTCCTTCTCTGTTACCCATGCTTTTCTTTATCTGCATCAGCAGGACACATGCGAAATTAAACATGGCTCTAAAGACCTAACACCTGCCTGAGCCTTGAGCCCCAGCTGTGACACGGGAACAGTAACAGTACCCACATCCTGCGGCCGTCGGATCAGAGGGGATGGTGCCTGTATGCCCAGCATGTTCTTAGCTCGACCACAATTGCTGTGTCGCGTGGTGCTCAGAATGTCCTGATGGGTCATTTCAGTGGAATCGTTGCACCGTTAGCAAGTTGGCCTCGTGCTGATTCCCGGAAGGGGCACTGAATGGGAGCTTGGGTGAGACCCCCATTAGGCCACGAGCATCTTTGTGGAGGTGCTGAGTCCCAGCAGCATCTGCTCTTGGTGGATGTGCATGGTAGATGCTGGAGGAAGTCAGAGTGGCCTTGAACACTCACAGGTACAATAAAAGGGTGGAGCTGGACGTGAAAGGAGGCGTCACCCCTGGGGATCCCACTCTCAGGTGTCAGGGCTTTAAAAAATCATCTATTCATTATTATTATTATAGAGCATAAAGTGGTATGAATTAATTATACCATGACTGGTGAGACATTTCCAGATTTGGATAAGTTATTAACTGAGGAGGTTGCTCTGTGCCGTGGAGTAGGTTGTGCACTGCCCAACAGTGTCCGGCCGAGGCAGTAGGTACCAAAACCACTGGGCTCCTCCCCCGGCTGGGCTCTGTGGGGCTGGTCAGCCAGAGGCAGGTGCCCCCCGAGTCCCCAAGGCTGCCGGACGAAGGTTTGCTGACCAAGGTACAGGCTGAGATGCAAAAATCGAGGCTGAATTCAGTCTTTAAATGTTTTAAACACACTTCTCATTAAAAAAAAGTGTTTATTCTACTCAAATTAGAATATGGAAATAAGCAAAAAGAAAATAAAAATAATCCCACAACTTAAGAGTTTACCATTTCTAACACCCTGGTGTTATCTTCCTGTGTGTGTTTTGTGTGTGTGTGTGTATGTGTGTGTGTGTGTGTGTGTGTGTGTGTGTAAGCAATCATATCCTATTATTGTTTTGTAACTTAGTATTAAAAAGTAGCAGGACTTCCCTGGTGGTCCAGCGGTTATGACTCTGCGCTCCCAATGCAGGGGGCCAGGGTTCGATCCCTGGTCAGGGAACTAGATCCTACGTGCATGCCGCAACTAAGAGCCCGCAAGCCACAACTAAGAGTTTGCATGCCACAACTAAGATCCCATGTGCTGCAACTAAGACCCGGCACAGCCAAATAAATAAATATTAAAAATGAAAATAAAAAGTAGCATATTGTGAATGGGTTTCTATGCCAGTAAATATTTATTTTATTGGTGGGATTGTCCTCCACTGCATGGATATATCATAATTTGTTTAACCAATATCCTCTTCTTGGGACTTTCTTGGTTATCACACACAGCACCGCGTCCCCAGTGACTCTCTATTCATTTTGTTTGTGAAGTATGTAATGTACACAGAAATTTTATATGCATGATGCCTATTTTCCCTGGAATGAAGTCCAAAAAGTGATATTTTGGGAGAGCTTGCTGGGGAGTGGGGTGGGTGTCCCTGACATGCAGTACAGTATTGCCCTTGAATAAGGATCTTGATGAAGACAGACTGCACCCCCACCATCAGTGTGGGAGCCCCGATTCCCCTGCCTTGTTCATCTTTGCCAACTTGGTGGCAGAACCCCTGTCCCGCCCTCATCTGTCGTCAATGTCTGTGTCGCACCTGCCATGGGCCCCCCTGTTCTGGGTGCAGGAAT